ATACATACATACATACATACCAAAGATTCAGACTGTGAGCCAAATCACTACTTCTTGCGTCTGCAGAACACCTTTAGGAGCCTTGTTTTTGACATTACTTTTATCCTCTTTCATGGCTACCTCAACTTTGTTGAACTAGACCTTCCATAGATAATTTACCTGTAGGTGGTATTAGAGAGTACTCTTGTATTCGTAATTGCAGATTCATTCCTGGAATAGCTGAGCATAGTTCCTAATGAAGCCAATGTGCAGACAAGGCAAAGGATGATTTAAGTGTTTGGTAGAGAACATTGTGCAGGTTATTCTGTAGAGGCCTGAAACAATGACTTTCTACATCAATGGGCAAACAAATATGTGTGTACAATATGCATGTTTTTTAGTGTTGCTACTGATGAAATTAAATTTAAATTTGGCCTCTAGAAAAAAGAAAATTTCCTGACAAACTTGAAATATAAACTAATAATCTTGTATGTTAATAAGAAGCCTCTTCTAGGAGCATCTTTGGCATTGAGAAAGAAACTGAAAAATAGAGCCATATTTTTGTTGTTCCCATATATTATTCATCAATGTAGCTGCAGATATATATAGCTTTCACTCTTGGCACTAACAAAAAGAACTATAACTTGCAAAGCTATTACTGAATTTTGACCAGATAGGAGTGTAAAATTTTAAAACAAATTTCATATCAAATTATATGAAACTTTTTTTAAAATACCTCTTAATTCTTGGATTTTAAAAAAATATTTAAGTGGCTGAACAGCTAAAAGTGGTTCAAGAAAGCAGTGTGCAGCAGTGGCAATATGGAAATAATATAAGAAGGCAACATAAAAATATCCATATAAGTAGTTGTCAACTTACAGAGAGTAGTATTTGGATGGCACTGTGAATGACCTCTAGGTACTGGAAGTCAATGATGCAACCTGTCACAGAGACATAGGAAATATCATCTAAGATCCCAGGGGCTGAAGGGTGCACCTCTCTTCGTATGCAGCCTGGTCCATGTTCTCGCCACCAAGATCGATGCATTGAGATGTTAAAGGTCATGAGATCTGTTTCCTAGTAAATGAAGCAAAAGAATGCATTTTTAAATAAAATGTTAATAGTATAATTTAATATAAGAAGTATATTGTTGTATACTGTCCAGAGTCACTTTGTGTGAGATGGGCAGCTATATAAACAAACAAACAAATCCAAAGGAAATCCATGCTACAACAGTATTGTTTAAACAGTGAAGATTAAAATTGCCTGTAAAAAATCTGATCTGTCTCCTTTTGGAAATGTCACATGTATCTTACAACCTGAACAGATATTTTAATCTCTATTCCCAAGCATGGAAATAAAATATTAGCTAAATTATAGAATGGGCAGGGCAGAATATATAACCTGTTTCTGGGAACCCAGTGAGCTTTGCTAAATTCAGCAAATTTGATAACATACAGAATATCCAAGATAATTCTGAGAAGAAAAGTACAACTTTGTTCTCTCATGAATTACTGAAAGCATCTCATGAATTCTAATGACTCCTTACTAGCTCAAGTACTAAACACTGTAACATTTTCCCTGCACATCAAGGAAGGTTAATGTTAAGAAGAATTTGCAGATGTTTTATTTCATGGCTTCAAATTCTAAAGTGAAGCTCATTTCTTCTAGCATTAATCTCAGTGCAGAGATAACGCTATACCATGGTTAATGCTGAAAACCAAAGGGACAGGGAAAAGAATATATATGATTTAAAAGAACCAGAAACATTCCATACGCACATAAAGTTACAGTCAGGTCTTACAAGGCCTGTAAATTAGACCTGGTTTCCTTTGATTTTAGGTACTCTGTAAGAAAGGGAAAAAATCTCTTCTTCTAAATTCCTGGTAGACACACTCAGATTCTTCCTTCATAAACTTCCTCAGAGCACTACTTGCATTCTCTAGGTTAATTTTTATCTTTTCATTCTTTGCCACCTATTGTGGATATTAAGTTTTACATATTCATTATTTTTTGCTCTCTATTTTTCTTCCCTCACCCTTATGAGCTGGCTGTCTGAATTGCTTTTACATGTTTCAGGATCCAATGTTCCATAGGTGTTATACAAATGATAGAATATGATGATCTGCTGGAATAAAGCCCATTGAGGAGAATGTGTCCTTCAGAAGTGAAGTGTTGAGATCAGATGACCTCATTAGAATGATAGATTGAGTCATTAGTCATCACTTAGCTTTGCATTATAATGCTGTTAATAATGTCTAGTCCTGTCCCCTTATAAAGTATCATTGCCATTGATAAGCTTGATATCAACTATTCTTAACTGTCACCATTGATGGGCCAGTAATTTAATAATCTGCATCTTACAATGTAGAGAATACTCATTGAGGGAAAATATGTACTGTTAGTATTAAAGATTCAAAACACTTGCAGTCCATCCATCCCTGCTTATGGTAGTTCTTTTTATTAACAAATTTGTTGCATCCACTTGTGATCAAGGAATCACCATGCTCAAGTTGTTTTTGTTGTAGAAGACTAGGAGATATGCTTCGTTGGGTCTACTGACTTCAATATAATTTTACTTACTTACATGAAGTATAGTGATGATCTAGTAACCATTGAGGAGATTGACAGGATTCAAAATGTTTGACATTTTTATGTTTATTTATTAATACTCAATAGAGATCAGGACTCTTTAAAGATACCATACTTCATATTCACAGAACAGACTTCTTGAGAACTTGACACAGACTATACATGATATATAATATATAAATTGTACTTCAGTCTCTAATTCTTACCATGTAACTCTATTATATTCACACTTTTAGATCAAAATTAATTAATAATTTTAATAAAATATTAAAATTAAAATAAATAATTTTAGATTAAAATTATTCTAGTCACCTGCAGCTGGGAATAAATTGGCGATGCTGTTCAAGGGCTGAGAAATTATTCAAACACTTCTACTATCTTTCAGATGCTTTCATGAACATAAAACCACACAGGTTTCATTTGGTTTGCAGGTTATTTGTGACTATTTATTCTGAGCTTCCCTGATACTGTGTTAACTTAACTCACCATCTCCAATTTGGAGTCCACAATGTATTAGATGTCAGCTCCAATGACAACTCTTCTAATTAATATACTTGGAAGGGAAATCTTGGGAAAGATTCACCTATTTCTATTTCATGTATTTCTTCTTACTTTTTTGCAAAATGAGTAGTTTAGAGAGCTACTCATATTGCAAAAAAGTAAGAAGAAATACATGAAATAGAAATAGGTGAATCTTTCCCAAAATGTCCCTTCCATATATATATTATAGCCCATATATTTTTTTAAAAAAGGATTAGAGAACAGTATGCCAAGAAGCTTAGCTAATTAAGCTTTTTAAACCAAGTACTAGTCTTTTTAACTTGTAACTCATGTTAATTATATTTCTAGATAGTACCAGGAGGCTACCCAGAGAACTAATAAACATGGACTTAATCGATGAGACGGCTTGTGCTTGCCCAACTGGATGTTCCTTTCTTCCTGCAACAGTACCCCAATCCCCCAAATTCAAAACAGTTTTCAAAGAGAAGAATGGCTTTGTGGGAGAAGTAGATGACCGTAAATGCCTATATCATAAATTGTGGGTCCATTCACATTTTACTGAGTTCCTTAAATTTGCCCCATCATTACCCACAGATAATTCAACTACACGTCTCTATCCCTAACAGAAAGAATCTACATCATTGGGAAGATTATGAACACTATCAATTAATCACTATGAAATGCCACTGCAATCTGAGTATTTTTGTTCTGTTCTCCCTTGGACCCATCATACACGCTACATTTTTGCTATTGTACCATATAATCTTTTTCCTATAGACAGTGGAAAAGAACTTGAATGAATAGAGCTGAAGTATATAGTTTTCTCAATCTTCAGTTTCAGTAGGATTTACAGGTAGTCCTCGACTTCCAACCATTTGTTTAACAACTGTTTGAAGTTACAACAGTGCTGAAAAAAGTGACTTACAACCAGTCCTCGCACTTACAACCATCACAGTGTCCCTGCGGTTATGTGATCAAAATTCGGGCCCTTGGCAACCAGCATGTATTTACAAATGTTGCAGCCTCCTGGGGTCATGTGATTGCAATTTGCAACCTTCCCTGAGGGCTTCCAACAAGCAAAGTCAGTAGGGGAAGCCGGATTCACTTAACGACTGCGTGATTTGCTTAATGACCATGGTAATTTGCTTAATAACTGTGGCAAAAAAGTTTGTAAAATTGGGCATGACTCACTTAACCACTGCATTGCTTAGTGACAGAAGTTCTGGTCCCAATAGTGGTCATAATTCAAGGACTACCTGTAGGCTAACACAATCCACAAAACCCTATGTCTTCAGTGACAATTTTCTTCTCTATTGTGATTCTTGATACAGTGTTAATGGCTGAAATAACAAGAGTTGAAAGCCATTAGCAGTAAGTATTTCTTAAGCCCCTTTTCCTCCTGCATCATTTCTGAGATCAAAAGTTATCTACTTTACTGACATTGGCATTCTTTTAATGACATCATACTGGAAAATATTTTAATAGGAAAGTACCACATTGGAATACATTAGCTATGATAGTTTCTTCTGGAGTTTTTAAGTATGTCTACCAAGAATTCATTGCCAGCAGAGGACTTTAAAATTATTCCCATCTTTTAAATATCCCCTAATACAATAGTTTACACTACTGAAAAGCATGTGTTTGTTTTTTTTCAAGGAAGCATTTGGTCTCAATAAATCATTAAAGCCAAGGGATTTCATTCATGGGATGGCAGATGAGCATTTTTAACACAATGGAAGTAACTTCCCTTAATTGTTAGTTTATAATAATTGATGTTACAGTATATCAAGCTGTTTTACATCACTGAACTACATCCCTTTACAGACAGTTAGGCATTAGCTCTATGGGAGAGGGAATTGCACTCAGCAAAAGCAATACTGAATTCTTGCCTCTTTTTATGTTACGGAAGTTTAAGCATTGGATAAAGTGGATTATAAGACTAATTAATAGACAGGCTGGTGTTGTGATAAGGATATATTCGCACCAGTACTCTAAATCTAAGATTATGTTTTGCATGTTATTGTTTTCTGTGTTGTTCTTCACAAATGCCCAGTAGAGATTGACATCTGTATATCCTTTTATCCAAATGGTCAGCTCAGTTTAGTTTTTTTTTCACCTCTTTAAAATAGTCCTTGATCACCTGTATCATCTGCCAGAGAGAAAAAAATATGGAAAGAGAAAATTTTAACATGAGCAAAGCTAGAATAATGCACATTAAGAAAAGAAAAAGGGGAAAAAATGAAAGAATTCTGATGGTGATTATTGTTGTTGATATAAAGTACTAATGAGAAAAAATCTGGAATTATGACTGTGAGAAAGGTGTAGCAAGACAACGTTCTTCTAATTACATCAACATTTCTCCATATTTATGTGCCACATTGGAACTTACGGACACTTAAGTGACCAGAGTGCTTACTGGATTTAAAATCAATGACTATGCAAATTTTCACCTCAATGGAAATCTCCTGGACTTAAGGTCCATTCTCAGCTCAGAACTGGGAGATACTGTTGTGGGTGTGGGGTTCTCTGGGATGTTGCTGCTTATTCCCGCCCCCACCCCCAAGTGGCAGGTGGAAGAGGTGTGATGATTTACCCTAGTTTATCCAGGAATTAGGTGGTGGTTTCTACCTACGTCCACTCTGATGAGGCCACGAGGTGGTGTAGTGTGTATGTTGCTGGAGTCAGGGACAAATGGCTGGCTGTTAGGCTTGGATCCTAAGTGCTAGGCAGAAGCATCCAAATGCTGAGGCAATAAGCCTGATAGGTGGGTGGTGAGTTTAGTGTATGAATAGGGCCCTTTCACTTGGGAGATAAATGCTATGGGTTTGGGATGGTTAGTGTCTTAAGGGCACAGGGGAAGGAAATAACATTGTGGTAGTGATGAGCAGGGAGGAGAGATATGATGGAAGTCAGGGGGTAGTTTCCTCTCTAAAACTTAGGTTTTGGGTGTGGCACTAACTGCAACTCCAGGGTGGAGGAGGAGT